CCCTTGTTTTAGCATGGTTTTGCAAGTTTTTTATTTTTTTTTATGTTTCAGCTGGATTTTCCTATGATTTCCATCATTTTTTGGTCGCAAAGGAGAAAGTTTGAACTTTTGCTGATCTTTGCAGGCAGGAAACATTTGTCGCTAACGAGCAACTTTTTTCTTGTAATGGCAGGCGCTTGCAGAAGTCTTCATAGGTTGGCCGCCAGGCTCAGACCCCAGCAGCGGCCGTGCGCGCACGAGCGGCAAAAACCGCACCCGGGTCATCGAAGCAAACGCAGGATGTCGTTTGCCTGTTCCAGGCACCATGTTGGTCGGGCGCAGTTGTCCACCTGGCTCTCCATCCACACTGCAGTCTGCCTGGTGCGCCTACACGTCAAGGACGTCTGCGTCTGCGAGACCTGTGTATATGGCAGCATATATAAGAAAGCAGTCCTGTGCGCAGGGGCAAGAGCAGGCGACCTGATGCATGTTGGTTACTATAAAGGTTCCAAATGACTTTTTGCAGCAGCTTCACCGCGCAGCTCAGCATGCCGGCTACGTTGCCGCACTGGGTCACCTCAGCTGCGAAGGCCTCTGACCTTCCATGTCGCTGAAGAATCCGTGGATCTTGAATGTGCCCCTGGCCATTTATCAGCAGCAGCAGCAGGACCAGCGCTTGCGCGAAATGCCACCTACATACCGCGTGTGGGCTTCCGACACGCAGCGTCATCGCAGCAGACACCTGCAGCGCTCCAGTTGCGGTCTCGCCAACTTCCACAGCCTCTTCTGCAGCGGCAACAGAGGCCGCCGCCGCAATAGTTTCATTGCCTGCTGGCCATGGCTAAGCATGGACAGCTATATGTATATATATATATAGCTGAAAGGGTTTAGGGTTTAGGGCCTAGGGGTTTAAAAGGGCCAGGGTTTACAGATTTATAGAGGTTTAGTGCTTATAAGGGTCTAGGGCTCGGGGTCGTTTTACTTGAGAACACGCTGCTGCTCTGTCACTCACGCGAGCTGCTGGAGCCTATATAGACCTGCTGCAACATATATATATATATATAACGGTTTGCTGGACGATAAGCGTCAGAGAGCGCTGCTGGCCGAACCATAAACAACCGCGGTCTTCCTTTCTTGTTTCCTCCGTCTCTCAGCCAAGGGGGTCTTGCAAGTATTCAGGCCGGCGCTGCAGCGGCTGAGAGGCCGCCGCCTGGACCTGGAGCAGCTGTCGAGCACAACTTAGCGGCGTTGGGTGTTCTGCGAACGGCGGTCATGGTCTTTTTCGCCGCCCTTTCCACGACTGCGCTTGCCGCCCCCAACAAGCCAGCGGCGGCGCTTGCGGCCGCGGTCCTCGCGCTGGAGCTTCTCCAGGCACTCCATGCGCTCCCGCTTCTGCCGCTTCTCGCGCTTCCGCCAGCTGCCGCTGCGTCCTCGGGACGGCGCCGACCTGGGCGAGCAGACTCTATAGGTTTTAATGGGATGGATAGATATATATATATATATCTATCAAGACTGCAGCTATATAGGGCTTACACGGCTTAGGGCTTGAAGTTTAGGGTTTATGGTATATGCAAGGTCTATATATAAGGTCCATATATAAGACCCAGACATGCTGTCTAGAAGCGGGCCCCACTGCTTGTCCTCCTCCTCCTCCTCTTCCCAGGTGTATAAGGAGGCGGAGCTGCGGCAGCGCTTTGCGCGGTGGCCTGGCTCCTTGTCTTTCTTGTTTTTTCTTTATCCTTTTCCTTTTTCTTTTTCTGGTTATTGTTTTTTTCTCCTCCTCTGCGTCCTCGGAAAGCGAGGACTTCTGTCGGGCCTTCGGACCAAAAAATGTATTGGCCTCGGGAGCGCAGTTGGCAACCACCTCTGGAGGCGGACCTGCCGGCGGCGCCAGAGGCGGCTCGTCTGCAGACCCTATGTCCGAGGAACTTGATGAACGAGGAGAGGCAGGTGTGCTGCGCATCGTCCTCCTCTACATATAGCAGGTTCCGCCTCTGCAGCGGCCGGAGGGGCCGCCGCCTCTGCAGCGGCTGGAGAAGGCGCAGCTGCAGGCGCGGCAGCCGGAGGTGCCTGCACGGTCCCGCTATACGAGAAAGTGCCAGGGCAGCGTTGTCGGCGTAAGCCTGGGCCAAGTCCACTCCCTCCGTCAGCGACACTACGAGCTGACCGTCGTTAACCAAGACGACGCTATTGTCTAGCTGCGCCACGTGCTGGGGCAGCCTGATGCGCCGCTCGCGGCGGTCCATGGCGCAGCGGAGGGTGGGATTAAGCGCTAGAGCGTGCTGCTACACATAGCTCTGATATACTGCTCAAGTTCTTGGAGGTCGGCGTGGTTCTTATTGCGCTACGCTAAAGTCACAGAGCCTGCTTGTAGCTGCGAGTCGCGAATTTTGCAGAGCGCTACAGTGCCGTGCGTGTGTATATATATATATATCAACGCAAGAAGGATCGTGCGCACGCCTGCACGTGCTTGGTCAAACTACAGACGGCCATTTTCCGCTTCAGATAAGCCGCAGCTGCATCGTGCCTTCAATGCGAACGAGCTTGGTCGCCGCCGCTAAGAGGTATCAAGAAGCTCCTTGCCGATGGCCAGGCGGCGGGCCTGGCCACAACGGCCAGCCGCGCAGAGACCAGGGCAACGCTGGCGCTGCCCAGGCGCCGCAGGGCGGCAAGCCGGGCAAGGGAGGTGCAACAGCACCAACAGAGCTTGTCGGCGTCGGCTGCTGCCGCAACCTTAGCACGCTTGCTCTTTGGCGCGCCCTCCTGCTCTGCAGTGGCTCTCCGGGCCACCGCCTCGGCAGCAGACCTCTCAGGGTCTGGTTCTTCAGCCGAGCCGCCTTAGCAGCAGCCTTGGCTGGGGATTTTTTTGGCAGGGAAGGGGCTGCGCTTTGGACAGCACGAGGGGTCACCGCCTCCAGTTTTGGCGCGCAAACAGCTGGGCTGGGTCGCGACATGAGCGTCTCAAGGTCGCTGTAGCTGAACCTTCGCAGCTTCAGCGTAGCGTCGTGTCCGACTGCCCAGCTGCTGACCTTGCCGGGCTGCCGTACGCTGCCTCGAGTGCCTCCCACAGGAGTCTGAGCAAGCGACGCTGTTGGCGAGAATGCCCAGTCGGTGGGCTAGGCTCCTCCAGTGGTGGAGGTGTCAGGTCCAGGTCCGTGCGGGGTGCGTCGGAACCACCGGGTCTTGGTCCGGCATTGCGGCCCTGGCACGCTTTGCTTGAACAGCTGCGAGCAGCGGAGAGCATGCTTCAGTCAGTCTGCTCCCCCAACGCAATACAGCAGATAACATTCACACAAACAGGAAAATGGAGAGCCCAAACACTGGCTTATAGTTGGACAGGCCGCGCATAGCATGTATAGTATAGTATAGTATAGTATAGTATAGTATAGTATAGTATATAGATACATGGCCAGGAAAGGGTTGCGCGCGAGCAGTCGTGCGGAGAAGCTACCCTGCTACCTGTCTATGTCCAAAACAGCGCTCTTTTTTGTCCTCGGGCGCCTGCAGCATCCTCCCCGTGACACATGGTGGGTAAGCCTACCGTCACGATGCTGCAGCCCAGCGTCAGCAGAGCAGGCGCCGCGGCTAAGACCGCGTGCCTTGGCGCAAGTCGTGTTGCTGCCACGGATGGCGTCTGGCGTCAGGCGCCGCCTTTGGCTGCTTTGCGCGGCCTTCTTTGGCGCGTCCTTGCGCAGTCTCGTAGCAAGGTCGCTCCAAGCTTTCAACCTTAGCTTCAAGAGCGCCGCGTCAAAGTCCAGAGCGGCCTTGCTGCGGCCGCCCGCGCACTGGGAGGCTGCCTCCAGCCAGGTCTTGCACGTGTCCACCGCCTGCTGCGGCGCGGCCTCCTGCGCTTCCGTCGGCTGGAGTTTCGGGAGGCGCTCCTGGCAGTCACCGAGGTCTTCTCGGTGTCCATGACGGTGCTGGTCAGCGTGTCCACGAGCAAGCTGCGCACTCGGTCGAAGGAGAGGTGCTGCCCTTCAGCTTTGCAGCGCTTGAAGAACTCGACCTTGGCCGCCTCGGGAGGTGCTGGCCCAGCGGCAAGCCGTCGTAGGCGCGCGCAAGCCGGCTGGTGACTTTGTTGCAGTCGCCGCACCACCAGGCGCTCTTGCTTTTCCAGACACCCACCGACTCTTCGGTTTTGGGTTCGTTGCAGCGGCGGCACTTTACCAAGTCGGTTGCGGCGACCAGCTCGCCGCCTCCAGGCTGCAGCGGCTGGCTCTCCTGCCCAACTTCCGCTTCAGGCACGGTCGGTGCCACGGACTCGGCTGGCACAGTTTCCGCGGTGTCGAGCGCTGCGGCTGCAGGCAGCACCGGCTCGGCCGCGGGAGCGTCGTTCGCGCTGGGTCCGCACATGGCTCAGGTTCACGGCGCTCGTGCGGGAGTCGGGCAGCGGGTCCACAGCTGACGCGGCTGCGGCTTTTGGTGTGCTTTTTCGGTTTTACGACACATGCGCCACGAGGAAACAAGGAAATGTCGGTTATTCTAGGACCGCGTATCTGGGCGTATCTCCGCGTATCTGGGCACCAAAATGGCCCAGATACGGGACATTTTGGCCGTATCTGAGGCTCTCGGCTTAGGAAAACAGGCCCAGACACGCGGAGATACGCCCAGATACGCCCAGATACGTTCCAGACACGGTTATTTTTTTTTGTGGAGAGGAGGACATTTTCCGGACTTTCAAGCAGTTGTAACGGGCAAAATTTCTGATTTCTTCGGAGCCCTTAAATCCCCAAACCTCAAACTTTGAACCCCTCACTTTATATTCTAAACCTTGAAACCCCAAACCCTAAATTCTGCACCCTACAACCGAAGGCCTAAATTTTAAACCTGAAGCCAAAATCCTAAACCCAAAACCCTTAACCCTATATCCTAAACCCTGAGCCATATATATATATATATATATCCTAAACCCTAAACCTTATATCCTAAACCCTAAACCCTATATAGAGGCCCTAAACTATAATCCCTTAGCCCAATTTCGCGCGGGGCTTTCTTTTTTCTAGCGGCCTTGGCGTCTCACGTGCAGCGCGTTTGCGCTGGCCGCCCGCCGGTCGGTTGCGGCCCGTCTGTTTGCGGACGCGGCCGCGGTTGCTGTCCGGATCGGGCGGCGTCCAGCTGGGGCCACGAGCGCGGGGCTCTGGGCCGCTGCTAGCACCTGCCACCACTGCCAACTGGAGGGCTGCCATCGCCAAGCAAACCAGTCCCAGTCCTCGCTTGGCGAGGCCTGAGCTGCACTCTGAGAGCCGCCAACTAATTCAGCGGCCTGAGTCTGCGATGCTGGCTCCTGCGCGACTGCGGCTGCAGGCTTCGACTCGCGCACGTCGCCGCCGCTGTCTGCAGCAGGCGCAGGGGTTGCAGCGGGCCTTTCCGCCGCCTTAGCTTCCTTCATAGCTTTTTTCAGGTTTTTTACGTGCTGAGATGACATCAAGTGAAAGCTCATGGCCTCTTGCGAGGCACACGTTTTCCCGCGCGCGAGGTAACTCAAGCCGTCCGCCGTAAAGAAGCGCAAGCCTGGCCGCTCTTCCGCAGCCGGCTCTGGCGCAGGCGGCGGCGCCGGAGGCAGCCGCGCTGTGAGCAGCACCCGCGGGTCGGCACCTTGCTGCGCTGGCAGAATGACAGTTGCCGCGCTGCCAACTGCTACAGCGGCCTCAGGCACGCCGTCTTGCGCAGCGGCCACAGAGGCCGCCGCCGTGCTTGCTTGAGCCTGTGCCACAAGCTCAGCTGTAATGCTTAGGCGAACATGCTGAGGCTGCGCCATGGCTAAGCAAGAGCAGCTAGAAGGTACAAGGATGTTTATTTGGAACTGTTTCTCGGAAAGCGTGCGCGGCGCCCCGGGGTTGGTAAGGTAGAGTTCAGGGCCAGTGGGGGGCAGATCTTATACACTGTTTGCAGGAATGCCGATGGCTGCAGAGAGGGTGTAAGCATTTGCGCACTTCAGACTCTACGTTGAGAGAGCTTGCTGCGTGCGCTGCTTGAGCCCAGACCTGTCGCAGCAGCCGCAGAAAATTTCTTGCTTACAAGGGACCGGGAGTGGCAACTTGCAACCCTAAGCGAAAAGCAAGCTTGCCCCTAACGCCCCGGCTTTCTTTTTCTCTTTGGCTGGGTCCAGGAAGTCAGGTCTCTACGCCAGCAGTTGCAGCGGCCCTGAGGCCGCCGCCTGGAACTGCGTCTCAGCGCTGCGGCGGCAGCCTAGGGACGCCGGCGCCTGTCGCGGTCCTTCTTGCCGCCCTTGCCCTTCCCTTTGCCGCCTTTGCCGCCGCCACGGACAAGCCAGCGTTGGCGCGCTTCCAGGTACTCCATGCCCTCGCGGTGCTCCCGCTTCTCGCGCTTCCGCCAGCCGCCACCTTTGCGCCGAGGGGCTCGCGGCGCTGGCTGCGCCGAGGGTCCTCGTGTTCGTACCCTCGCGAGGGCGCCGACCTGAGCATGTCGTTTGGGGTTTAGACATATAGGATTTTGGGTTTAGGGTTCTGGATTTAAGATTTAGGACCTAGGCCGGAATTCAAAACATTGCAAGGCCCCAATGTAGCCTAGCTGCGGTTCCCACTCTGCCTCCTCCTCTTCCGGCTCTTCTTCCCAGGTGTAGCTGGAGGAGGTGGTGCGGGGGCGCCTCTTGCCTGCCTTCCTGTCCTTTTTGGCCTTCTTCTCTTTTTTTTCTTCTTTTCCTTATTTTTCTTTTTCTTTTTTTCCTCCTCTGACTCCTCGGACGTCGAGGATTCAGAGGCCTCGGGAGCAGGAGCTGGCTTGGGGTTGGGAGGGCGACCACCTCTGCAGGCGGCGGAGGTGGTCCTCCACAGAGCTCAGGTCTGAGGAGCTTGAGGAGATGGGGCTTTGCTGCCGCGCCGGACTTTGGAGTAGTGCCTGGCGCCTCTTCCTCCGCTGCAGCAGCTTTCGGGGCCGCCAGCTCTGCAGCGGCTGGAGCCGCCGCCTTTGCAGTGGTTGGGGCCACAGAAAACACCGCAGGCAGCGTAGGCCTGGGCCAAATCTGCTCCCTCGGCTGCTGTCCATTGCCTGGGAAACGCACAAGGCCAAGGCGGGAAGCTCGCGCTGCTGCTCCATCTCCTGCGACTCCTCGGCTTCGGGACCAGGAGCCGGCGCCGGCAAGCAGAGAGCGTCAACAGCAGCAGCAACAACAGTAACAGGCAGACTCGCAGGCGTAGGCAAAACTGCGGGCAGCGCGGGGTGGTCCCTGGGCACGCGCGGGGCATCCTCCAAAGCCAACAATGGCGGCGAGGGACGCGCGTTGCACAGAGGCAGTGCGGCGGGCGCGGCCGCAGTTTGCGAAGGCAACCCCAGCGCCGCCAGCAGCGCAGCGGCAGGCGCAGCGCCGCTGCTGCTGTTGCTGCTGCGCCTGCGCAACTTGAAGGTGCTCTGTAGCACGTCCAAGGACTCCATGGAAACTGGAAGAGCAGCTGGCAGAGGGTTTTGGCTATACAGCTGCTGCCTTTCCTCGGCTGCTAGTTCCGCCGGGCAGAAGGGCAAACAGAGGAAGCTTGCGCACACGCCAGCCTGCGACGCGAACCGCGTCAACGCAGCGCGCACCTGTCCTTTGCAGTTGTTCAAAGCAGCGGCAAGCTGCTGCGGGCTCAGGCCAGACAGCTGCCCACGACAGTTCAGCAGCACCAAGATGCGCGCGAAGCTTCCCTCCGAGGGATATCGAAGCCCCAGCTGGTGCAAAAACAAACACAGCTGACCCAATGCGTCCACGGCCGCCGTTGTCTGCACGCCCGGCTCCTGGCAATCCAAAATCTGCCGCCAAAGCCGCGAAGGTAAAAAGCGTGGCATGGTCTCATAGTTCTGCAAACGAGCACGACCAGCCGCGTCCCGCTCGCCCTCAGCCAACACCAGCGGAGGTGAAGCAGCCATCGCAAGCTCGGAACACCGTCCAAAGAAGCGCTGTCCACTTTCGAGCCAAAACTCACGCATCCTCTAGATGATTGCAAACCCTGTCGATTTCTAGCAAAACATAAAAAAACAGCAGCTTTTCTCAGTGAAAACAACATAAAACATGGCTCGGGCCAAGAAATGTACATAATCTCATACAAAATGAGGTGGTCCCAAAAAAAAATCAAAATGTGACTCATTTTCGATAACTGGGATAACTGTTGAT